AAAAGCGTGTGGGCCCAGGGCAATTCAAGCCACTCAATACCAAGTCACGATCAGTACATCTTAGAGATACCGTTAGAGCCCAAATTTCGAAATTTCATATTAATCAAGTACAGAAAAGAAAAGTAAGGTACAATCTTCCCATGGTCCAGGGGACTACCCTAGTTGACCTGCCCAAGGGATGAGTCTGGTGGGAAGGGGGCGCCACTTGTTCCTAACCCAAAGCCTTTGAAGGGGGCTTCACTGAGCCGACTCAGCTCCGTGTGTATCTGTTCCTGTAGGTAAATTACACAGTGGACTGGCTCCCAAGGGAGCAAAGGTAACTCCCAGCAGCAGACAGGGGGCTGTACGGTCTGGGGATACTGCCACACCCTCTCAACAGTGGGCTGAAGCTTCATGAACCCAGGACACCAGATGGGGGACCTATTACAGAAATACTGGCTTAGGGTTTATCTTTTATTTTTATTATTTATTTGATTGATTGACTGATTGACAGGGTCTCGTTCTGTCGCCCAGGATGGAGTGCAGTGGCACAATCATGGCTCACTGCAGCCTCATTCTTCTGGGCTCAAGTGATCCTCTCACCTCAGCCTCCTGAGAAGCTGGGACTACAAGTGCACACCACACACCCAGCTAATATTTATATTTTTGGTAGAGACGGGGTCTCACTATGTTGGCCAGGCTGGTCTCAAACTCCTGGGCTCAAGTGATCCTCCCACCTCAGCCTCCCAGAAAGCTGGGATTACAGGCATGAGCCACCGTGCCCGGCCTATGGTCTTCCTAAAAGGAATCCTGGGAGTCTCTCTCAGAACCTATTCTGGTTCCAGGGCTGCCCAATAAAATATTAAAAAGAAAAAAAGAAAAGGAATTCCTGCTCACACACAGTCCTCCACGAGCTGAAACCCTCAACAGAAAGATGGAGGGAGGATGTGATGTAAGCGGTAAATGACTGGGAGGAGGGGCAGTCAGACAAAGGACAGGCCCCTGCCCACGACACAGGCGTTACATCCAGAGAGAGCCGGCGAGGGAAAATCACTAAACATCAGCCAGGCCCACAGCATGCAAAGCCAGCTTCCAACAGTGCTAGTCAAGTGACAACTTTCCCTGTTCCTGTCCTTTCCTTTCTGCAACTGGTGATTAGAGAGAAGAAGCCAACACCCTGCTCCTGACCACAGGTCGCTGCCTGCAGGGAGAGGGGAGAGCGGTCTGACTTTTGAATGAGGACCAGAGTGTTGATCAGTGTATTAGCCTGAATCCTTCTTTTTTTTTTTTGAGACAGGGTCTAGCTCTGTCGCCCAGGCTGGAGTGCAGTGGTGCAATCTCCGCTCATGCAACCTCCGCCTCCAGGGTTCAAGCAATAAGTCCTTTTTAATTCCTGAATTCAGACTGTGTGCGCTCCTTCAAGTGTCGGTATGACTTTCTCTGTTATGTAAGGGTGGCTGGAAAAGTCAAAGGAAAGAAATCCCGCCCCAGGCAGGATGAAAAGTGGGAGAGAAAAATCCAGTGGCTTTTGTGATTATACCCTTTGAGTCCAATGGGTTCAACACATAAGTTACACACCTAAACTCAGTTCTCTTAAAGGCTCCTTCCAGCTCTAATAACCCATGACTTCTAAGTACAAGTGAGTATTTAATTAGCAAACACTTCAATTGCACTTGCTATGTGCCAGGGACCAGTCAAAGCACTTCATCAGTAACTCACTTTACTCTCATAAAAACCCTATGAGTAGGTACGACGAGCATTTCTATTTTACTTATGAAGAAACTGAGGCACATGGAGGTTAAGTAATATGCCCAAGGTCACACAGCCAGCAAGTGGTTGGGCCAGAATTTGAACCAACGATGTTTGCAGCCAGACAGGAACAGAGCTCCTGTCCTGAGTTCTCCTCCTAGGTATCTACCCCAGAGGGCTGAGAACACATGTTCACACACGCTTTGTATGCGAATGTTCACAGTATCATTATCCACAGTGGCCAAAAAGTAGAAACAATCCCAAATGACTGTTAACTGGTGAATGGATGAACAAAATGTGGTTCTCCACACAATGGAATGCCATTCAGCCATGAAGAACAATGAAATACCCATACACACCACTGCATGGAGGAACTGCAAAAACAGGACTCAACGTGAAAGAAGCTACATGCAAAACCCCCTATATTGTATTCATTCCATGCATGTGAATATCCACAATGGGCAAAGTCACACAAACACAACAAAGCAGATGAGTGATAAGCTGGGGCTGGAGTGGGAATGGGGATTGAGTACCAAGGGGCATGAGGGCTGCTAGGTTCAGACACTGGATCGTGGTGATGGCTGAGTAACTCAGTAAATTTACTGAAAACCAATGAATTGTGCACTTCTAAGGGGTGCTCTGATGATATGTCAGCTATACCTCGATAACGCTGTTAAAAAAAAGACAAGTGGGGGCTGACCCTGGCTATAACTCCCTCCCGTTCTCACAGGTTCCCATGTGTGGGGCAAACCCTTCAGAGGAACACACTGAGGGAGGGCTCCAGGCCAGGAAGTTGCCTGAAACCCTCTGGCTCTCCTGCCAGGCTGAGCAACCACCGACCCAGAGTTCTGCACCAACCAGCTGAGATTTCCTCACAGAACTGCTCTGTTTTGCAAAGAGCAATTATATGCAGGGGAATTTCCTAACCAAAATGAGACCCCTTCTTTATTATCCCCCAAACACCCCTGCATTCTTTTGCAATGCAAAATCCGTGCCTCCCCAAGCCAATTACTTGGGAAATGTGATATGCAAGGATGAATTATACATGTGTTTTCTTTGTGAGTTTGTTTCCTCCTCAGGGATGCTAATTATGAGATAAATTGTTGGGGGTTTTATGTCTTGAAATAACTCCTTGTCATATCAGAGCCCCTCTTGCTACATATTGCCAAGCTAATTGTTGGCTTCCAAAGAGGAGGATACAAGTTATTTTCAATTAGGGTAGTAAAATGCTAAAAGAAAATAAAGTGCTAGTCATACATACATATTCATATACACATATTGATAGATGTATATGTATATTTATACCAGAAACAATGAATGAAAATTCAATGCACTCATTCTTTGGGAGATTCTGATAGTGTCCCTGGTATAATATTTTCCCATTTTCAGGCACACTACCTCCCTTGTGTTACAAGTGAGAAGTCATTTTGTGATGTATTAAACTTCTCTTTAGATGGTGAATGTGTCTCCACTGTGGGTGTCCAGTGGTTGACACACAACAACTCTCTCGTTGACAAAAAGGCTTTCAAAGCTGAGACATTATTCACCAAAAATAAGACTCAAGCTGTCCACTCTACAGCTTTAGTGACTGCAGAGATAGAGAACAGTCACCTGTCTTTTATACCTTATTTCAGAGCTATATTAAGAGCTGATTTTTTTTTTTTTTTTTTTTTTTTTTTTGAGACAGAGTATCGCTCTGCCACCCAAGCTGGAGTGCAGTGGCACCATCACAGCTCACTGCAGCCTCAACCTCCTGGGCTCAAGAGATCCTCCCACCTCAGCCTCACTAGTAGCTGGGACCACAGGTGCACACCACCACACCCAGCCAATAATTTGCCATAATTATTATATAATATATAAATATAACATGTAATAATGATTATTTATTTTTTGTAGAGATGAGATTCTCCCTATGCTGCCCAGGCTGGTCTTGAACTCCTGAGCTCAAGTGAGATCCTCCTGCCTCAATCTCCCAAAGTGCCCAGCCTATGAAAGCTGTTTCTTTTTTTTTTTTTTTTTTAAAGAAATGGGGTCTCACTATGTTGACCAGGCTGGTCTTGCACTGCTGGCCTCAAGTGATCCTCCCATCTTGGCCTCTTAAAGTGCTGGGATTACAGGTGTCAGCCACTATGCCAGGCCTCAGCTGCTTCATAATTCTATCAAGCAAGATCTTTGTGATCTTTACACTACTCCTTGGGGGACTACAAACCTTTACTTATTCAAAAATCAGTACTTCTTTCCAATGATCAAAGTTCTTGTTACTAGTCAGGTTTAAGCAGGAATTTCCAATAGCCACAGGTAGCTTTTGACCATCATTCTACTTATTGATCTTGCAACTGTGAAACTAGCTGGTAATTGTATACCACCCTTTGAACCCAGTCCCTCTCAATGCTCGTTATTCCATCACTGACACACGGACAAGAAAATCCAATTCCTCAAAATCACTTAGAATACCACATTCCCCAGGAAGAATTAGCCTCTCTTGGAAACACAATCATGTCAAAACACAAGGTACCAGAATTCACTACGGTAACAGGTTATTTTTATGACAGACCAATAAAATGTCTTAATCAGTTGTCTGAGGAATATTGGTATTCAGCATTACCTACAATTTCAAATAATGTGCTATTAACTTTAAAGAGATGTGCTGCCATCCTGCTGATTGGTTGAGGGACCTTCAGAAAGCCTGAGCAGAAGCCGGGCACAGTGGCTCACACCTGTAATCTATCCTAGCACTTTGGGAGTCTGAGGTGGGCGAATCACTTGAGGTCAGGAGTTCGAGACCAGCTTGGCCAACGTGGTGAAACCTTGTCTCTACTGAAAATACAAAACTTAGTCAGGCGTGGTAGGGGGCGCGCCTATAATCCCAGCTACTTGGGAGGCTGAGACACGAGAACCACTTGAACCTAGGAGGTGGAAGTTGCCGTAAGCCGAGATCGTGCCACTGTACTCCAGCCTGGGCGACAGAGTGAGATCCCGTCTTAAAAAGAAAAAGAAAAACCTCAGCACCTCAGCAGAGCACTCCATCTACCCAACTTCTGGATGACAAAGAAGAAAGTAGGGCAAGCTTGTTGCCACAAGTAGCTGGCTAAGTGCATCACTATGACAAAGTTAAAACAATTTGAATTTGGGGACAATACACCGTCCACTTCAAGTAAATTGCTCACTCTGCTCCGAGAAGGTGCTCACTGAGTAACGGTTGAACAACCACAGCTTGTGCAGAAAGCGTAACTGCGGGATGGGCACCCCACGCCAAGCTCTGGTCCGCTTACCAGTAAAAGTCTCTGTGCAGGGGTTCACACCCGCAAGACGTTTTGAGGTCCCAAAATCGGAGATTTTCACCACTCCACTGTAGGTGTTCACCAGAACATTATCGCCCTTTGGAAAAGAACAACATCAAGTGCTTAAAAGACCGGCTGAAACGAACTCATAGGAAACAGATCTGGACCTTGGGAAACCGTCACAAGTCTCTAGGGAAACTAGACTTTGCATTTTGGGGACGGTTGTGCTAAATCATACCCCTGTCAGCCAGTCACTCAGCAGATACCACCGACAGCTCTCGTGACCTGATATGAGCAAAGGCAACCTCGTCAGCTTTAAAAAGCAAGTACCTTTATGTCTCTGTGCACGATCTGGTTTTCATGGAGATACTTAAGGCCCTCCAGGATCTGTTTGGTGTAAAACTTGATCGTCGGTTCCTTCATCGGCCCCCATTTGGATCGCAGAAGAGCCGAAAGGCTTCCTAGAGACAGTCACGGCAAAAAACGTAGCAGGAAGAGAAAGTTTCAATGGTAAGAGTTCAGGGAAATAAAGTGAGGTGAGGTTTCTAACCTAACATAAGCGCTTACACCAACACCATTGGATCTGGGCGAAATGCAACATGTTTCCTCCCCACTATAGCTACAGCCAGGGAACGGACTGGAAGCGAAGCAGCACATGAACCTGACCAGAGGCGGAGGGTGAACACAAACCCCTTGTGCCCCTGAAATTCAGTGGGGCCAATTGTGGGTTTAGCTCTGTTCAGCTGCATGAAGTTAGGAGGAGAGCAAAATAATTCTCTCTCAACTTGAGGGGCATGGCCTGCTGGCCTAGATAACTCAGGTCCCATGACACTTGTTTATAGCAGGTCTGTCTCAGCCATTCTGCTTGGGTCAAAGCCACGTTTTGTATCTTTCCTGTAATCAGAAGTGGACAAGTCCAGAGTGCGGGGCCCTTTAGGGTGACAAGGACTAGGACTGGAAGAAGTTGGGTCTCTCTGTCCTCAGTGCGAGAAAGCCACAGTGGCAGGTCACAGGGTAGGACTGTCTTGATCAAGAACCACTTCCCCCAATTACACTATTAAACACTGAACATTTGGGCCAAAAGAAAAGCTCCCTTCAGGACGCTGTGACCACGTCTCGAAGGACATCATGTGAGCTGCAGGACGTCCTGTTCACTGGCAGGAACGGGCCCTCAGACATCAGCTGGTCTCAGCTTCCCACTTACACAGTGTTATGGGACCTTGATCTACCTTGGTCTCCCCATCTGTAAAAGGGGATGAAAACATCTGTCTCTGATTCTGCTAATACCCTTAAACCTAAGACCTGGGATGGGGTTATCAACTAATGTGAAGAGTAATGGGTCGGGTGCAGTGCCTCACGCCTGTAATCCCAGCACTTTGGGAGGCCAAGGTGGGCAGATCACCTGAGGTCAGTTCAAGACCAGCCTGGTCAACATGGCAAAACCCCATTTCTACTAAAAATACAAAAATTAGCCAGGCATGTTGGCGCGCACTTGTAATCCCAGCTACTTGAGAGGCTGAGGCAGGGAGAATTGCTTGAACCCGGGAGGCAGAGGTTGCAGTCAGTGAGCCAAGATCGTACCGCTGCATTCCAGCCTGGGCGACAGACCGAGAGACTTCATCTCAAAAAAGAAAAAAGAAAAAAGCAGCAATGGACAACTTTTCTGACAGACTATGACCAACTTCAGGGGAAAAGAAACTACTTCATTTATCCTAACATAACCCTGAAAATCTAGCCCACTGCCTGGCTCTTTCTTTTCTTTTTGGAGACAGAGTCTCACTGTGTCACCCAGGCTGGAGTGCAGTGGTATGATCTCGGCTCACTGCAACCTCCGCCTCCCGGGTTCAAGCGATTCTTGTGCCTCAGCCTCCAGAGTAGCTGGGACTACAGGCACACGCCACCACACCTGGCTAATTTTTTGTATTTTTAGTAGAGAGGGGGTTTCTCCATGTTGGCCAGGCTGGTCTTGAACTCCTGGCCCCAAGTGATCCACCCGCCTCGGCCTCCCAAAGTGCTGGAATTACAGGCGTGAGCCACTGTGCCTGGCTGACTGCCTGGCTCTTAATAAATATACTTAAGACTCTTCCTGTAATAGTAGACTCTTAATAACTGTCGGTTGAGTGAATGAATGAAGATTTCTAACTGAGGTTTCAGCATCTGTACTCAGATAACTATTATTTTATTGAAGAGTTTGTTTTGTTTTATTGTTTCAATGAGCACTTACTGAGCTCTTGTTCTCTGCCAGACAGAATCCACCCAACAGCTCACTGAGACAGCATTATTGTTATTCCAATAATTATTACTCCAATTATCAGAGTCATTATTACTCCAATTTTACAGTTCATTTATTCAATCAGAAAACTGAGGGCACAGAAAGGGAAAACAATTTGCCTGAAGTCACACAGCTTGTGGATGGAGGAACTGATTCAAACTAGATGGTCTGGCTCCAGATCCCAGGAACTCCCCACCTGTGCCCTACCTCTTGAATTCAGGGATTTTTGTGGATAAAACACTGGTGCTTGATTTCATCATCAAAATGCTACTTTGCATTGTCACTTTAACACCTATGTTCCCTCTTCTGCACCCTTGTCCAAATCCATCTTTTAACTCCTAGACTGTGAAGGCCTCAAGGCCAAAGACTGTTTTCTCTGTAGACAGTCAATGAATATTTGTGGGTTGAACAAACTGCATCAACAAACCAGAAACAGACTGCTTATATGACATTTGGAAAGTATCCAACTCTCCAACATCTAAAAGGTCTGTTGCTTTTTTTTTTTTTTTTTTTTTTTTTTAAGAGTCTCGCTTTGTCACCCAGGCTGGAGTGCTGTGGCATGATCTTGGCTCACTGCAGTCTTGACCTCACGGGCTCAAG